CTCCAGACAACACTATCCAAACCACTATCTGTCCTTCGATTTATCATGCAATCGAACATTCGTAATTCTCCTTGATCATTTTCTACCTGGTAAGTGAATTGGATTGTGTTTACTAGTGAGTTTATTATAAGTGTGAGGAAATAGTCGATATGTTCTGATTTCAGCATATTAGTCAATGTGTCATCCACATATCGCCACCATATTTTTGGTGTAGGATTAAACGTTTGTAAAGCTATGTCTTCCCAACTATGATTTTGAGTGATAAACTTTGTACGATAGAACCAATCAAGGAACGTAATCTAATCTATCAAATTCCATGTAATGATTGTGAGGTCAAGTATATAGGTCAAACTAGTCGGACGGGGTCAGTTACATTAGCCGAATATAGGAATTTAGCCAAATAAAGAATGACAGACCTAAATAAAATCAATAATCTAGAAAAAAAGTTGACTATTGCAATGCATGCATTAACACACAACCACACAATTGAGTGGGTAGGATAAAGCCACTGTACTTAAGTCAAATATAATTAGGTGGAGATTGTGAGAGATTGATTACTGAATGTTTGTTCATCGAATCAGTCAACACCCAACACGTGTAATATAAATGACGCAACATCTTTGTTACATATAAAGTGACGTAAGTATAAAAATCAGATGTCGAGAGTAGTGTGATTACATTGTGATGTGATTATGAGCAGTGAGTAATTTATGCTGGAAACGTCATGAGGTAAATAATACTAGATCACTGTGTTACAAATCAAAAAAGCAAATCAAATATGGATATAGTCGAAGACCTTTTGAAGTTCTTTGGAGACATTTTGTGATTTACTTTGAAGGAACTACTAGGAGGACCTAGAATCTCAGCGATGATATTGTGTTTTGGAATAGGAAATTTAATATTTCTGTTTCCTCTGGTTTACCAAGCTGGACAATGTCCCAAAATACGCTTACGAAGTGGAAGGTGTATACAGCTATTGCACATCGTTCACTTATCTAGAACAGAGAGAGAAAAGTTCAACATTTCTATTCTTGTACATCTTGTTATCTCCTGACAAACGTCCCCTCCTGAAAGTACCTTTAAAAAAATTTACACAGTGCCTCCCCACAATTCAGATACCTTTCGATTTCGTCTTCTATGCATAACCGAATCATAGATGAATGATAAGCTTAGACTTGATCCCTTTGTTCCAAAACTACCTGAACTCACTGATCTTACCATGGCTCTTCTTTTGTCATTGAGAACTTTCCATTCTACTCTTGAACATGACGGCAGTCATGTGTCCTTATTGATAAACAATCGGCTGGCATTTCAAATTAGCATTCATTATGAACTGACATCAGTTGGAGAAACACTGGATGACTGGGAGCACTGGACAGCTGTTTCGTTTTCCTAGTATGAACTCACTAGGTTCCCCCCCCCCTTCTTGACCACGACTTCTCACTGGAGCTATAGTAAATACATCTCGAAGTTGGTCACCAGTGATCACTAGATCAATTTAATTTGGGGGTTTTGAGAGTATTTATTGATCTCAAGTAAGGTTTCATCATGAACTGACATGAAATGTGATGAGAGCGAGGATTAATACTCAACGATGAAACTGGGTAATGGTTGCGCTATGTCGTGTACTGACAGAATTTGGAAATATGAACCAGCGGCTAAATGGTAACGTGCTGGCCGAAGAACCTGAAGGTTATGTTTGTGCACTGCTGAAGAGTTCCGCACTAGGAGGAAACACAAATCCAGTGCTCTCAGTCTTCCAATGTTCCTCTAAGTGATGTTACTCCGTGATAAATACTCACGTGGACTCAATAAATTCTCTTAAAACTCCCAAATTAAATAGACTTTTATTTGTTTCTTGTGATTTTAAATACGATTGTGCATTCAGCTTTAGTATTTGAAGTTGTCAGGAAGAAAATTTTCTTCACTTTCAGATCCTTGTTTCATCACTCAGTATATATGTGAATTTTTAAATATATTTTGCATGTTCACTGAAGGAAACTTGTCATATAGAAGAAATAAAGTGATCTGCTTTACCTTTTATTTATAAAATAATAAATAGCTTTAGGATTATTACTGAATAATTATCATAAAAATATAGGCATTTTATATTGAGAATATGAATATTTAATACCCATTGGATTGGCAATAACTAACCAATCAATCAATACAAAGAGATATACTAGTTAATTATCGAATTAATCAACTGATGAAAGGAAAAGCTTTCAGATATATATTCAATCGATTTTATATTTGAATAAATCAATATAATGGTATCTAGAATAAATCATACCAGTTTAGTTTGGAATACATATATATATATATATATATATATATATATATATATATATATATATATGAACATACTGAATAATTTTGCGTCAACAGTGATGAGCTTTAGTATTATTCCTAGTATTATACCGTCGTTGATTGGACAGAAAGTATCGGTGTCTATCGGCATATGGGCTCCTGTCCGTATGCCTTGATATTGCCTGCGTCCTTAATTATATAATAATCATGGATATGCCAATACAGACTGATCACTTCGGTCCAGTCAATAACTGTATAATACAAACAATTGAAATAAAACTATACCCATTGCACAAGAAGTGGCTATCGTCTCTCAGTGGTCTAGAGGATGACGCTCTGGTGTTTGCAGCAATCGGTGCCGAGTTCAGATGCTGATGGAAACAAAATCACTTACAGGGAGGAAGGCACATCTAGCTGACGAGTCTGAATTAGGATGAAATGCGCATCCAGCATTCCACTGCCTGCCACTATCCATCATTACTATGATATTGAGCTTTCGTTTATCAGTTTGTTAACAGCATTATACAATTGAGATAATTAACTCAGAAAAGTCTTCCGTAAACAGTAATAATGGAATCATTTGTTACTGGGATTCAATTCAAAGTAGTTGATTATTTAATTGATTACACAGCTTACGTAACACTTTAAAGTCATAGTTTAATAGAACAATAGGAAGGTGTTAATGAGAGTCGAATGATGTAAACTGTGAAAGATAATTTGATGGAATGTAACTCATGTTAGGCGACAAAATAGGTTAAACGAATGTGCCAAGGTAGTTGTAGCGGCGACATTTACTTTTCTTGAACACATAACTCAGGTTATTTGATCCTATTTGCTACTTCTTCTTCAGTATGAATGATTCACAGATGGGTAGGTTTTTGGCAAGTTGATGAGAACTCAGTACAAGATGGAAAGTGATTTATTCATTTCCACCTTGTGGTCCGTTTCAAACAAGTCAGATAATTTGGTCTCTACCGCACCTCTACTTAGTCACGTTGAAGAGTGTTTGCGGGCTCAGAAAGTTGAATTTCTAGACCAGTGACCAATGTAACAAGCTCCACAGGAGCAGTTGAACTGATAAACACAACTGGAAGTGGTCAATCTCAGGGGATTAAACTTTCAGTCTCAGAGTCTCATATAGAAAACATTATCTGAAAACAAAATCTCAATATTGTTGAAGCATAACTCATTATTATGTACATATAACTGTAGGATCTGATGACAAGTTATCCAAAACAATATTTTATCTTCACTCAATTAACTTTTAACTTGTATTAATTAGTTCTTACAGCGATACGAATTACTAAAGGCTATTTATAAAATTACAGAGAATATGAAAAAATGAATTAGAAACTGTATTAGCGTATATACACTGCTATCAGTTAAGAAGTGATACAGTTTCTGTACATTTAAAACTATAAATTATTCTGTAACACCTTCAAGATGTATATTTATTTCAGTAAATTTGAGAATTGAATACCACCGGTATATCCACTTCCTACTTATCAGCTTTCTAACGCACTATGTGATGGCATGGTAATTTCCTTCCTCATTTTCACAGCATAAGTATCAGTGGGCTCCTTAATTAATATGTTTCTTTACAATATACATGAAAAAAGTATCCCATAATAGATTTGATATATACAGCAAACAGTGTGATACAGTATCATTTCATTGATGACGTTTCGAGCATACATTACTCATTGCTCATAATCATATCAATATAATCACGCCACTTTCAACATCTCAATTTCATAGTCCTATCACCTCATATTCTTCATTCCCAGTGGTGGTAAGATTATCCATTTCTCTGGTATAGGTGCTGATTCATTCCTATGACATGTGTTGAGTATTGATCCGATCTATCTCAGTCTCCTCTTAACTATAATGGACTTGACTACAATGATTTTATCCCATCCAACACTATTGTGTGGTTGAGTGTTCACGCATGCATTGCAACAGCCAAGTCCCTTTTTCCAGATCATTCATCTTATTCGAGTCTGTCATACTATATGTAGCCCAGTTCCCATGTTCCACTAATCTAACTGATGTCGACCAGCTAGTTTCACCTACGTACTTAACCTCACTTACAGTAATTGTATGGGATTCGGTTAATGCAATTATTTCTTCTAATTGGTTCCATCGGATCCTTAAGCCAAGCGACAAAGTTTATCTGTGAATGAGTTTGTAGATTTAATTCCAGCTTTGTTAAAGACTCTATATAAAGTTTCTAATGCTCCATCCTTTTAGGGTGTTAATGATATCATTGTGTTTCTTGTGTGTTTGTAAGATTTTCTAATAAACTTCGCTTTTTGATGTGTGTCAGTTGTTTGTTTAGGTCCATGGACTGACTGGTGAGTTTTCTAGCTCCATCATCCAGACATTTCACTAAACTTGAGTTAACTGACATTGGATGGGATGACTTTAAGTTTAGACACCTATTGGAATGTGTTGGTTTCCTGTAGACGGTAGACGGTAGTACCCAAACTACCGTTCGTCCTTCCTTTTATTCTCCAACTCAATTCATTTACGAGGTTAAAAAGTGAACAAGGAGAATTACCAATGTTATTTATTTTCCTTTATTCAATTCCACAATAGCCGATTGGTTTCTTGAGTAACTTCTTACAGAAAATAAGTATGTTAAATACATTTCAAAATGATTACTATTAAAAAGAGGTTGCCATACTTACACGCAGTTGTTCCACAGTTTCCTTGGAATTAGCGTCTGTAACTTCCTAGAATGGAATAGACATGATATCAAGATACGGTTTTGACGAAAAAGGACATCGGTTTTATTTATGCATAAATTTATTGATGAACATCACTAAGTATGAAACAAGGGATAATACGATCGTTAAAAAAATCACGTTTGCATAAAGCTGTTTCATACGTGTGTATGTACACGTTTGTCAACAAAAGGATGATGTACTATTTCAATATCCAGATGTGAAACATAGTGATGTATCAGTAAATACAGTGGTAGTCAGTTCTACCATTCTAAAAATGTAGTTTACTTCAGGAAATAGTAAATCAGTAATTTGATGTAAAAGAAGTACCACCACTTGGCTATTAAATCACACATCATATAATTTAAGTATATCTGTGGCTTATTGGTTTGGGAAGATGACTTTCAACTGATTATTCACGGGTTCGAGGCCCATTCCACCTACAAAGGTTTCGGAAGCCAGTTATTGGTATCATTAGCCATTACATAATGAGTGTGGCTCAGTGCCCACTGCACGAATGTGTACAAGATAAATGGTTTAACGTATCCATGTTCTTGACAGTCATAATAGTTGTGATAAAATTTAGCTTGAATACTATTCTAATTGCAGTGTATAATTAGGCTAGCGTACAATACTATTGCTACACAGTGTCTCTGTCAAGTAATAAACGACGGCCACTTTGAAATTTGATCTGCAAAATTTTGCACTGAACATATACATCAACCTTTTTCCTAACAATTTGTTTCAATCACTAAAATATGTCCTTTGAACGAATGAGATGTTCTATTGCACATTTTTAAAATGTTATCAACTCTCTGTTTCTCTAGTTGAAAATAAAATAGAGAAAAGAGGTCAGCTTGTATGAAAGTGGACTTTTCAGTGAGCAAAAGTATATCATACTTCTATCCCTCGGTTACTAGGCTTGAGTTCCAGATTCTTGTACTGACTGAATGAACCACCACCCCCAAAGTTACGTTAGTGTTTCTGTTGATTTTTGTTCTAGACCGGACGCTTACCAAACTCAGCTGGATGTTTCTTATTATGGCTTTGAACACTGTTATTATTAACATCATTCAGATGCAATAACCATTTCGTCTGAAAATATTGTTCTGGGAGTAACTTCGTTGAAAAACTACATGGTGAGAATTCTATACTGTATCATACATATTGTTTAGAATAAAGCTATTATTATTATGATTGATTCTTATTATTATTACTTAGGATTGAATTCAACACAGACTGATATCAGTTGGAGGAACATTAGAAACCTAGCAGTACTGGACAGCTGTCTTGTTCAAGTATGGGATACCTCAGCTTCGACAGGTGATTCCCAAAGTTCCAATGAGAAGTCATGACCAGTGGAGCCAACCAAGTCAAACATTAAAGCAGTTACTCAATGATGAAATTGGATGTAGGTCACGCTATATCGTGAACAGACAGAAGTACGAAATATGGACGACTGGATTCCAACTAAGTGGTTCAATGGTAACGTGATGTTCACTGAACCTGAAGGTTCTAGGTTCGATCCCTGGTGGGGTCATGGGTACAGACTGTTGAGGAGTTGCATACTAGGATGAAATAGTTGTTCAATATCCCCACATTTCCAATGTTCCCCCGACTGATGCTAGTCCATCATGAATTCTAACTAAAATCAATTAATAAAACTCCACAAACCTGCAGATAAAATTATTATTACGGAAGAAATCCTGAGAATGCTAATCATCACAAGAACGGAGTCCACTCTGAATTTATTTCAGCATATAAAACAAGACTAATCCGCTAGATTTTTAAGCATGATGATTTCCCAGTGTCAGGCATATTGGCAAGGCATAAACTGTGTTGATTTTCAGGATTAGCGTTGAATCACAGACTGTGAAATTGTACACCAGATTTCCCCCGGGAAGTTGGTTGGTATTATTACCTACTGCAAATATTTTTGGTTTATAAGTAAGATTTAGCGAAATTACGGTGAAAGGATGTGATCACTCTTTAACAACGTGAACAGGAAAAAACATATTGCTATCTGAATATGATAAAGTTGATGAAGTTAGATATACTGATTATTAACATCTTTTAGGATTTATCATATTTTGTACCGAAATGGTGGCAATCAGCAAGCTAAATTTCATTAACTTAAAGTAATAGTAAGCGGCTATTTACGCTGCTTCAAGACACTAGCGAGTAGAAAACGAATTTAATCAAATCATCCACAAAAAGGATGGGTCTCTTATAGCCAATGCCTACGCATTTAAGTTCACAAGAGCAAGCCATTGGGTCTCCGATTGCTGATTACGTGGATTTTAAAGATTCAATGCAGTGACCAGGTATGCTCAACTCAACAACCACACTCAGATGCTATATGCACATATGAGAAACAGACTGTATACACGCATCACGATTACAGAGTTCTCGTGCGTAATGCCTGTTATCCAATTCGGCATGCAGTTCACACGTTCAAAGCACAATACGAAAGTGACATTGAGATCTTATGAGATAAGCAATGGTGTTTTCATGACATTGATCGTTGGCAATGATAGAAGAGTGATACGTTGAGGAAACAGTAAGAGGTGTGATATTGTTATGAGGAGATGGAGGCAAAGGAGGAGATGGAGTTGAGGAGGATGGATTATGTTTGATTGGGTCTCGCTTACTTCAGGCAACATGCAGACGGTTAACAATTCCCGCCTGTCCATACCATGCAAGTCTGTCTCTTCATAAGACATCTGAGTGAGGAAACGACTTGTATGAATGCAAACCTTTCTTCAGATCAGTCACACACAGACTTCTATGGGTTGTTGTTTTGAGGTTTGAGGTTTGTCCAACGTCGGATGGAGAGAACCCATGTTGTCGGTAATGGGAGGTTGTGAGGCATGGATGGGTGTGTTATTTTTGTGACGAACCTTTTCTAGCACCTCGTTCTCATAGGGAAGGTGGGACCGGTGTGTCACTGCTGGTCGGCGGTGTGAAACGCCTCACTACTGTCACACATCATCCAGCCAGTAGTATGACTTCACACTCAAACCCCTATTGTCGTGTACTAATTTGTACTACAACGGTAACTGCCGTTCATATTATCACTGTCCAACAAACCTTTGTGACATGGTAGGACCTCGACAGAACAGGTGTGACATCAGTAAATATTTCTGTGTCATTATAATATAGAAGCCTGTTCACCATGTTAATGTACCAGCTACTGACTGGAAGACCAACCTAGTAGTTTTTTGCCACTGTTTCGCTGCTAACATAATGCCCGATAATTAATTGTGTGCTGTTTATATATAGTTGCTATTTGAACTCATGTGAACCTGTAAAAGCTTACTAGGAGTGATTAACTGAACTGGTGGTAGACAGCGGTATCCACTTCAGATGAATGGTGTCACCGTTTCCTCTAGGCTTTTTTACAGATAAGATAACGGATATTATCCTAGGTACCTCAAAATTCACTAGGACTGATTTACCTTCTGGAAGATATCTAGCTGAAGTACGCAGTCAACATTGTCGTATGGGGAGAAGAATGACTACATCGCAGTCATCTGATCGGCGTGTGCAGAAATCTGATTAGGTTTGGCATGTGTTTTCAACTCGTCAGATGTGGATCGATGCTTTAGGATTGGTCGACGCTGACTCATAGTTTCAGGATAAGGGTTGGTTGGTTGACTGGGCTGACTGTCTCACTTATTCGTGAAGTGTCATTGGGCCGAAACCACTGACTCCTGACGAATTTGAAATATTCGGCTACATATTGAAGGATGAGTATACTACACCATAGTCCGTTCCGTCCACTTATAAGGCTATGAGATATGGCAGCTGAATGCAGAAGATACGAAAAAAAGTTAGTTTTTTTTTACTATAGCTCCCTTCGTAACATTGCTTGTGTGTGACTGACGCTAAGTGTAAAGTAATAGGTGATTAGGGCAAGGCAGTTGAAAGCCACTGCCAACCTAAATGTATGATCTAATTCAAACTAGATGTAGGTTTAGAGAAAGTTAATGTTGGTTATATCACCACACGGTACAAGCTCATGTAGTCTTTGACTTTATGTTTGAACGCCGTAGACTATCTGACTGTAATCCTCAAGGTACAAGTAATCAATGGTTACAGCCTCTCGGTAACAGTGATGAAAATCAATTACCTCTCAGCATCTTCAAAAGTTTAAACATTCCTACTAATCTTTGAGTTTTAATTATCTCACACTTCATAACTTTTGTCTACTCAAGTATCACTACTTTCATATCAACTTCTTTCTTTCATGCTTCAAAGCAGCATGAAAACTTGAACTGATACATTTTCATGTGACGTTTTACGATGATTTACCTTCCTGGATCTTTATCCATTTCATAATATTATCTTGAAATCCTCAACTAATACAATTCAGATCAAACTTCAAAAGTTTAGAACCCATTTTGAACTCTCATTTTCTAATTTCTAAATTAGACGAACAACTGACAAACTAACTGTCGACTTCACGGTTCATACTGAAACATTTGACACATAAGTAGTTTTACAACTACTCAACTATGGTGTCAATAAGGCTACCATTGGTAAAAACCATGACAAGCTGATAAAGAGTAATATCTGACTCTAAAGTGTCATGAACTAATTAACTATCCTGCTGAATTACAACAGTGAATAGTATTCAACCAGCAGTATTTATCTGCATGTTTTGTATGTAACTTAGAAACCAGACGAATCTAAAATACTCATGTTATACCTGGCAAAGTTGGAAAATGGTCCTTTGAAGGATCAAACTGTCAATACGGAGTTGTACTGCGGGTATATGGATGATATTTTTTAGTCTTTGATAAGAATCTTTGCATTAGTTCTATTCTGAACCACTTCAACAAAACTTATCCATCAATTCATTTTACATATGAAAATGATTTGATACATTTTCTTGATGTACTAATGACAAGAAAAGAAGACAGTTCTATACTCAGAAGTTTATGTAGATAGCCAAACATCTAAGGCCCAGTATACACACTTTCTCAGTCCCGTTCTGATGAAGCACAAATCTTATGTAATCAGGTTCCTGGCATTTACAGTAACATTGGTCTGTATCAAGGAGTGTGTTGAAAAAAACCTTCAGTGTATCCATGGTATTCTAAGGGAAAACGGATATCCGGATACGTTCATCAAAGTTAACATCAATTACATTGATCCTAAATGAGAATTGATGACAGGGGAGAAGGAGCCTTTGTTTCTGTGACTACAAATCAAAAGGATACGCTCCAGGTGATATTCTATCACAACGTCTAGCTACAGCAGTCAATAGGACGTTTTATGCAGTTTGGCTATGTGTATCACTCAGTAGTCGGCCACTGCTTAGTCCGAGACTAAATAATAGCCTATCTAATCTTAGCTCTTTTTTCCTGCATATATCAGCTTAATTTCCCGTGTGGAACACGTGACATAAGAAGTACGATTAGGCAGGTGCGTCTCCGGATAGGAGAACATTTACCAGCTTGGCTCGAAAAGGGAGAAGTGAAAGTGATGAAAAGTTCCATCTTAGTGCACCTAATCGTTACAGCGCATCACGTAGATGCTAACAAAGCTTTCAGTGACTGATCAAACCTGAACAGGGGACTCAGAAAGGACATGTTCAAGCGTTATTCCTACCTTGATTGCCAGATTTTGATTTCGAGACCAGTTAAACTCAGCTTTGTAAATCACGAATATTCTCATTTAAAGGGGATCATTACAAGTACGCTTGCCACAAAATATATTTCAATGTGAGATAGAACCTAGTTGAACTGAAGTCTAACCATCAAACCACGATGAGATGAAAGTATCCATTCCCTGTTTTTATCAGTCTTCTTAAAGATGGCAAGTATATCAACCTGCAGGGTCAATAAAATTTCTGTTTGTCAACCCTAAGTTATTAACTATCGATCCAAGAGGATAGGGAATATAGGGGAATATGTTAGCATTGTGTGATAATCCTCATAAATGTTATGTAAGAACCACGATGTTCGATTATCATATTATGATGATCTCATCGCTGAAGTTTATCTTTACAAGATATATGTTGATGACATCATAGTGATTTGTGAGAGGCATGAGAATATGGCTTGTCTACTAAATAGACTTAACACCGTACAAACTCACATAAACCTGACTTGTTAAAAAGAGAATAATAATCAACTGCCATTCCCAGATATACTCCCGAGTTGATGAGAACACGTGGTTTAATAAGACAGTCAGTTTACAGAAAGCCTACATGGACAGGACAATACCTGAATTTCCATAGTTTTTGTCCAATCCAATACAAGCGAGGTTTAGTAAAATGCCTGTTTAATAGAATCTATCGTATCAGTACACCAGATGCGATGGATGAAGACATCAAATTACTGAGCAAGCACTCATGGAAAATGGATAGCCGATGAAGTTTATAAACCGTTGTAGAGGTCAAGTAGCACCACAGCCAACTCTATACATGGTTCTTAGGAAAAATGTCCATATCACTCTACCATACAGAGGGGAGCGAAATGGTATCATTTTGAGACGTAGGCTGACATCAGCCACTAAGAAAACGTATTACGCAGCGAATCTTACCATTGTGGAGAAAACAAAACACATGCTTCACCAAAAACCTTAACACTGCATCAGTGATTACGTCACATCCCATTGTGTTTGCCAATTTACACGTGTGGGTGGTGACACATACATAGGGAGGAGTAATCGAGTTATGCAGCTGAGGGTGGGAGAACATGTGCCCAAATAGCTTCAAAAATAAACGGAGTGTGAAACAGTGATAAATGCTGTTGGGAGACGACCCTCTTCATCTATAGCTAAACATATCATAGAAACAGTTCACAAAGTTAATGTTCAAACAGCTTTCAAAGTTTTATATAGAAACAGTCAGGGACGTATTCCCAGATTTACAGAAGCCATAGCCATACACAAATTTAAACCACCTTTATGTGTACAAAAACAGTTTGTTATTACACTACACCCACCTTGGTAAACTTTGTTTTCTTACCAAGATTAGGACCAACTATGTCACTTCCTATTTGTCCACATCTTTCTTACTTTTAATCCCCTATTGTGTTAATTGTTGTATTTATCCCCCTCCCAGTCCTCGGTTTAATATATATTGACTTGACAAGTAAATCTCTGATCGGATTGTTCGAAATGTATTGCGCAAATACATCACATTGCTCAGATAAACGTCGTCTTCTAATTACGCTATCGAAATTCATAAAAAGGACTAACTGTTTCAGATCATATTATATATCATAGCTTCCAAAAGAGCCTTGTTAAATTGGATTCGACCTCATGCATCAAATCACACTGTACCGAAATAATAAAAATGACGAGTCTTCTTAATCATCAGTTGATGAGGCGCAGAGTAGCTCAAGGCTGGTTTTAATAACTGTATTTCCAAACACAGTTAACTGGCATTTTTGAAGTCGTCGCTCAGGTTTATACATTACTAAACGGAGTCCTTAGTTTAGCTTCATTTATTACCAGATAATCATCCAACCCGAAAATAATCCCTCAGTGTTTACTGTGAAACACCTTGCTCTACTGAGTAGCTCTAAATAACTAGACGCGCCCCACTACTTGTATTTCTCTTCAGTACTTGCAGCCCATGTAAGGTCTACTGGTCAAGGTAGTAATTGTGCCCACCGATATCAGGGAGACTAGCCATGCATTATATCAAACAATAAATTTAACCTCCTAGAAATTCATATTTTCTTTCCGTCATTATCTTCTCAATACTGCCACAGGTTTATTGTACAATACAATCACTAATGCTGCGTAATTACCATTCATAATATAAGAGGATATTGATAGGTGATAAATAAGAATACTCTTACTTGATGTGCTTGTAGTAGATTAGTTTCACCACAGTCATCATCACCAACGCCACCACCATCAATATCATCATAATCTTCACCAACCTCATGTATAGATCTTTGTAATAATCTGTCTAACTGAGATTTTAGTGTGGCACGTTCAAGGAGTAATTGTTGTCTCAATTGAATAACATCATTCAATTTCTGTTTATAAAAAGTGAATACAAATTTCAAAAAAAGGCGAGAAAAATGTGAAAACATGAAGTTGTTTAAATCTTTAATAATACTGATGAAAAACACAGTTATAGAAAGAGAACCTAGCCTGGATCATGAATTCAAAGCAGTCATAGAAACATGAAGAATTCAAAGATTGTTAGTCAATTGTTTCATTACTGTCCATCCTTCTATGGTAATCATTATCAACGTTGTATGCAATGCAATCTATAACCTTAACCTATTCCTAACATTTTTCTACAATGCTCACATGTTTATACTAGCCAATCTGGATTCAAAAGCGGTGTGACTGGAAATTTATTTCAACACATTTTCAACTTCCCGCAACTTCTAATTTATTATCAACTGATTTACCGTTCAGGGAACGTCTACTTAACTTGGAAAGAAAAAAAACACAAACATTCTGATAAAATACACAATATTTGTATATGTTGACCGAAAATTCAACTGCAGATGAAATGTATTTCATATGTCTTATTTATAACATGATGCTTTAAGACTGCGATATATCGATATCTGGCTAAAGATTGAAAAGTGAAGTGGTGGAATCTGCACATGACTCCAGTTGTTTGAACACTTTGGTCAGCTCTAACTGGCTAATTACAACAAAGTCTCTGTAAGAGTATAATACATTCGTGAGAAATTTGCCACTATACGCTATCTTTGGAGACTTAAAACTGTCCAGTAATCCTTACAACGAAGAGCGTAGTGAATAACAGTCTTCCTTGCTGTAATCCACTTCAGTATTTTTCAACTGTTGATAACATAGATTGGAGATTACCATCCACAGATTTCAGAAAAGCATTCCTTAAGGGACATTCAGACAGATAGCTGCTATCTTGATGTGGTGAACAGGCTTCTATATTATAATGACACAGAAATATTTACTGATGTCACACCTGTTCCGTCGAGGTCCTACCATGTCACAAAGGTTTGTTGGACAGTGATAATATGAACGGCAGTTACCGTTGTAGTACAAATTAGTACACGACAATAGGGGTTTGAGTGTGAAGTCATACTACTGGCTGGATGATGTGTGACAGTAGTGAGGCGTTTCACACCGCCGACCAGCAGTGACACACCGGTCCCACCTTCCCTATGAGAACGAGGTGCTAGAAAAGGTTCGTCACAAAAATAACACACCCATCCATGCCTCACAACCTCCCATTACCGACAACATGGGTTCTCTCCATCCGACGTTGGACAAACCTCAAACCTCAAAACAACAACCCATAGAAGTCTGTGTGTGACTGATCTGAAGAAAGGTTTGCATTCATACAAGTCGTTTCCTCACTCAGATGTCTTATGAAGAGACAGACTTGCATGGTATGGACAGGCGGGAATTGTTAACCGTCTGCATGTTGCCTGAAGTAAACGAGACCCAATCAAACATAATCCATCCTCCTCAACTCCATCTCCTCCTTTGCCTCCATCTCCTCATAACAATATCACACCTCTTACTGTTTCCTCAACGTATCACTCTTCTATCATTGCCAACGATCAATGTCATGAAAACACCATTGCTTATCTCATAAGATCTCAATGTCACTTTCGTATTGTGCTTTGAACGTGTGAACTGCATGCCGAATTGGATAACAGGCATTACGCACGAGAACTCTGTAATCGTGATGCGTGTATACAGTCTGTTTCTCATATGTGCATATAGCATCTGAGTGTGGTTGTTGAGTTGAGCATACCTGGTCACTGCATTGAATCTTTAAAATCCACTTAACTAGCAATCGGAGACCCAACGATTGACTCTGGCAGACTCGTTGACACAGGCTTAGCGTTAATTCCTACGGACCCAAATTCGCTTTTCGACTGAATCGCGGTCAACAATTGTCCGATGAAGGTTCGACCGAATGGGTTTGAAAATTTTGGAATCATCAGGATATCAGCGGATGAATATTCCTAATCTCCGCCTACACACCTGCCGACTGCTATTTAGACTATGCATTGCATGAATTCAGTCAGAAGCTTAAGGTTTTGCTTGGTAAGGGAAACGTTCAGATATAGTCATAATAACCGCTGAATTCAACGCTAAAGTAGAAAGGCTGAGTCAGTTGGAAAGAAATATTAAGGTTATCTACGGAATCCCGTTCGAACGAACAGTCATCGATGATGGTCTGTTGTAATTTTTTTCTGACAGTCACTTATTTGTGGTCGGAACTAACTTTTTGCGTAAATAGAGACACTGTTCCACTCCGCATTCGCCAACATCAGACCAACGATGAACACAGATGGATTATATTTCTATAAGACTTTGTTAAAAGGAGGTCGGTGGAGGATTGCCGGCCTTTCTAGGGTACCTGTTTGCATTCCAATCACATGCTAACACGGGCTCGTGTATGTCTTCTCCTTACTGGTTACAGGAAGCAGGCGATAGTAAAGCCTGTTAATGGTCGATTAAAAGATGGGTCCAAATTTAAGGAAGAGATAGCTAAATGTTTATCTGAGCATGACAGATAAACATGTCCTGAGGAAACTTGGTATGATGTTAAACATGCTGTAGAAATAGCGGTATGGCCAATTGGTAATCTACTTGAGAAAGCAATCAAACATCACTGGGTTTTTTCAGGGTCATCTTAATGAACTGGTGCGAGAAGACCGATTCCAGCTGGATCTGATCACGAAGTGAGGTGGTGGAATACATCAACCACTTCACTCGCTTCAGAAATTGCTTTAGCCGAAAAAAGCTTATGAAATTTCAGCTCGGATACAGAAGGCTTGTTTCTTATTTGCCAGTCTGCATCTTCTGTGCACTGACTAGCGACATATCTGTCAATCTATCAGAGGACGAGTATTCTATTCCTCCCTGTTGTACCGCAGTGAAACATGGCCATTAAAAGTTGAAGGGATGACTATATATATATATATATATATATATATATATATATATATATATATATATATATATATATATATATAACCTGTTAATAATTTGTACTGGTTAGTCTTCTTTTTGAGATGTTAAAGATGTTAGTTTAATAAGTCACTGAATTGACCATACTCAGTTGGATAACAAAGTCAAGGAGCGAATTGAAGATCTTATTATTTATGAAGAAACGGCGATAGAATGCTTTCTTTTCAAGTGAAATTCAACCATCTTTTTGAGATGCAACCCATTAGAAGATTGTACACAAGACTGTACGGTACGTGGCTACTGCTAAAACGTCGAGAAGTAGGATTTAATTTTATTCAGCTTACTTCATCATGTCTAAGATAAAACAAGACTATTGAAAATTAAGCATAACGTGGTATAGGATAGAGTGCACATGGGTTAGGGTTAGTAGTAGTGTGAGTAGTCGTTGTAGTAAATTTCCCAAGCAAAAAATGTCCTCAAATCAGATGAGCGAACCATCAGCTTCCCGATTAAGTGGTTAATGTAGCTCAGCAAAAATAACAACTACACTTAGAATGCCTTTTCCTTTGTGTTAGTGCATATACTACTGTGATGTCTGTGCAACCTTTAAAGAAACTATATTCTATTTATTATTTGAATCAATGAAAGGTAGTAAAGTTGTCGGAGAATTTATCTTCTGGTTATCCAACTTTCTGTCAACTTTCATTACAACTGGTAACTGGATATAAAGGGAGTAAATGGTTAGATATCTGGTTCTTGGTTAAATCAACCAGACAATAGAGATAATATTGTAGTAGGCGCTGCTGATCAGAATGGATACAGGTGGTATATGTTGAGAGGGTGGCAGAAATCATAGGCAATTACCAGCAATAGTTAAAGATTCTGACCACAGAAAAGCAATAGACAATGTAGGCGTATGAAGAGTAAATCGAGATAGAGGAAGAAGAGGAAGTGAAGTGGATTGTGCAAATGACTGTCTTAGTGGAAGGTGTACAATATTTCATCACTATTGTACTAGATATCAGTAATAAATATTCCTTCCTGCGTTTCAATCATCTCGTTTCCCACAATATGAGTAATACAGTAATTTAATATAGGAGCAGAACTAGAGCACTATGGTGGATTGCAATCACAAAATATCGCCAAGAAAGGGAGAGTTGCTGCATTACAGTCTAAACACATCACATCTTACAGCAGCATATCAAGATATAGTTGATTTCAGAGACCCATCAACTGATGTCAATCCATGATGAAAGTTTCACCGAAATCAATCAATCCTTATAAATCCCTGATCTCATTAAAGTGATACTAGACATATACAATCAGTTGGCAAATATTCTTGCTTGATATAGATTTTATTTTCGGCAAGAATCATTTCTAGGCTCCGTTTATTAAAGTTAGTTCACTATTTACTACAAATGGAGACTTAGGAAGCCTAGTGACCATACTAGAAGCCAGAATGATTAAAAAGTCACTTTCAGAGACAGTTTCTTTCAAGGTAGACAGACCTTCATCTACACTGAGCATCATGCAACAAACTCCAGCCAATCACCACCACCTGTCACTTTCCGATGAAAATTTTATTTCCTTTAAAATCTTTTCTTTAAAATCCTTAGTTAAATAATACCTAGAAGTATTAAAAAACTTTTTCAGCTCATAATATGATAGTTCAAAATGGGTTGTTCTCTGACGTGTGGTGAACGTTTCAGTGTCTTAATAGACATCATCATCAGTCCTTAGCAATGAAAAAAAGTAAATTGACTGCCCATGGATATTTATAACACACTACTTGACATGTTTCAAACTTATTGATCGTTTAGTGAGTACTGAACTCGATGCATTTACATTTTGTAGATATAAGGAAACCAACTATCCAAGTTCAACATGCACTCACCAAACAGCCAATTAAGTTGAACCTAAACAAAGTATGTATAATTCAGAGTTCAGTCACTTTACTTACTTGTGAAACAATGATAAAGATGTCTAATGTGACACTGAAATGTCTGTCAGCTGAAACTCTACCTCATGGGAGAATTTAATCTGAAAGTAAATAACACCTTAAGGGTGTTGATAAGCTTAAATTGTAAACAGATTGAAGTCAACCACCTATGAGTTGTCAATCAGATGTACATTTTGATGCTATTTCAACTTCACTGAAATACATTTTACAACTAGTTTAAACGTTTAAAATGGTCTTTTAATTATTTATCAGATCATGTAATCACCAATTACTCAAATAAGTCAGGAACTAAGTAAACAAGTACTCAAAGTTTCCTGATGATTGATACCCACTATCAAACATTAAAATACTTAGATATTGATGAATATTAAATGATGAGTAACTGTATAAATTTAAGGTAATATTAATAAAGAATAAGTGAATTTTTTTTAAAATTTACCTGTATGGTTTTTTCCATCTGAGATTCATAGGACATGTTCTCAGAATATCTCTGATCGACTAAATTCGATATTTTATCCAAGGATTGATCAATACGTAACTGTCTTGCATATTTCTAAGGAAATGAAAATGTGTTTTTTTATTTAATATGTGGTGAAAATTCTGATTTATTTATAGTCAATTTATATGAAATAAGCTCAGTTGACATAATTCAATACTGTACAAAGATAGTATTTGGGTTGAGAAGTCAGTCGGTGTAACGATCACGTTACCATCTAGTTATAAGGTTCATTGCTGACTAAGCATCATTCAACAGTAAGTAGCTGCTCGATCACAGTTAGTAAGTCCTTACAATGGCAAATCATCGATACCAAATAGATACCAAATGAGCTTCTGCTTGAATATCCAGTAGTTCAATATGCTCTGACTTCATTCGCTGCGTTTAAATGAGTGAACATCGTGTATGTTATGTTCAAGACTATAAAATATCCGTTTGAAAGCAACTCATTAAGTGACTATGATTTGACTAGATAAATATTTAAGTTATGATCCCTTTGAAAGTGTTCACATCAAAGATTGCCAACAGATATGGGGTAATCGATAGGGCATGCCTTGATAAACAATTGTGTTATCTGGATTACATGCTACTAAAGTTAAAACAAGCAGCTGAATGATTGCGCAATAACCACGAGTTTTGAATGTTTAATTTTCATCTTACGTAGACTATCGAGAATAGACACCTATGAGCTCTTCTGCAGTGATATGAAACAGTCATGCATTATTACATCTTGCTCAGTGATTCTCGTGTACATGCCACTTACTACTTCAATGCAGATCATCTTCGATTCAATCAGTATCCTAAAAATTCATCCAAAACAGTAACTAAGTCTTTTAATTTCTTACTTAAGAATAGCTTAACCATGTCTAAATGTAAGTGATAATTTCAGTCATTATTTAGTAACTTTGTTTGTACAAACTAATACGCAAAAATGGAATGCAACTGTAAATTCTTGGTGAACTGTTCAATGACAGAATGCGTAAATGGTCATGGATGTTGCTTTCAGAAGAAATGAACATCCTTTGGTGATAATCACCGTAGTGAAGGAGGATTATTCTCGACGTTCCCGCAGATCTCTACTAATTGTCTGAAATATACACGAACAAGTGATCAGCCGGTGATCAATGTGTCTGCCTAGTACTTAGTATTTTTTAAGAATCACAATCGATTGATTTGGTGTACGGCCACTAAGAGAATTGGTGCTACAGTGTGGTTTATTTCATTTCATCACTAGATGGTTGAAATGTGAAAATGTCAATATGTTTGAATGGTTATGAAAAACTGTACACTTAAGCAAGAAGAGATGAAATGTTGATGATACGGTTAAGTCATAATCACAAAATGTTAAAATTTCCTCTCAAAACCTTGTTTATATTTGTCTGTGATAAAAACTGTTGTAAAATCACATAATATGTCAAAACCTCCAAAATCAACCGCTATCTATTATTCATTAGTGATAGAACTGATGAGAAGTTATGGTTCCTCACGTCAACAACTTCGGTTGTAAAGACAGACACCATCATATAACGTTTGATGTGTCAGGTTATATTGAGAATTGATGGAAGTCAAAAAGCATGAACTATTGAACTTTTATTGAATGGTTGAATCGCAAAACATCAATTGTGAGGTCTTATAGTTCAACAATCGATTCTGCATGACATTATATGTCTCCGCTGCTCAGGAGTCGTAGACTAAATCGAATTAGCCACCCAGCCCCTCTTCATTCACCTAGTACTCCATGGTTCTGTAGTAGACGTTAACGCATGATGAAAACTACTTGGAAACCTATAATAATTGCACCCTTAAGTAAACCGCATGGCGGTGAGTCATTTATATGATAAAGTTCCACCTATTTCATGATCATTGTCCATCATGTTAAAAAACAAACTAAACCGTGAAACCGTGATATGCTATAAGAACCAATGACAGAATTTGGACGATTACCTCAATCGGTAGAACAGTGAAAAATGGAGAGCTACTACTTATCTTTCAGTGACTATGCCTACAGCGACTACATATATACACTCACTGTCCTAACTGAAACTGACACCCTGGGTGAAAATGGATGTTATGGGTTTTATCAGCCAAGCTCAAGGAGGCTCACCAAGAAGCTTGTATTTCAAATCCTGGTGATAATAATATTCTTTCAGAACTTTGATAATCAACTGTCTGACCAAAAATAAATCGACAAACTTTGATTGGTACTCCGCATAAACCACATGACACCAATTACAATGGTTTCTATCTAACAACCGATTGGTGTACATAATTGAGTTCAATAATGGGTTAAACATAAGCCGTATATGAAATATACCACTAAAAAACTTGAGCATTTAGAAACCACTCAGGTTGTTTTGAAAGTTTTTCGACTCAGATCACAATGACCTAAACACACGATGGCTGTTTCGCTCACTTGCAGCCGAGCTCATCATCAGTGTTAACGGTGTAATTCATAAATCCCTTTCAAATTGACCATCTTATTTATGACGTACCGATCCATTCAGGTCACCATGGAAAACTCAGTTGGTCCGAACAATTCAGCCACATAGACTGAATTTATCCAAACACACCACGCATGACTGAAGTGGCACTCCGGTATTTAGATTTGGCTAGCTGACGAAGTCTAAAAATCACCCTGTGCCGTTTCTAACCACTCAAGTTGTTCAGCAGTAGGACTTTCTACTAGTTCATGATACTTTTGTGTTTCTGAGATCATACCTAGTGATATTGGCTGTGGAGTAGTTTTCAACGGAAACCCTATAGACACATGTTGAAGAAAAGATTACTCAGCCGTGAGAAATGCCGATGTGAACCACGGAATTTGTAATTTTTTTGCAAATTGACCATCCTATGAGCTGTATACGTTAGAGGTATGTTCTCTGGACTCAAAGAAGTCGGTCTAGACCCCCGAGTGAACATAAGATTTCTTGAGGTAGTAGAATAAACTATCGGATGAATTAGGCCCTCCTTTCAGTTCAACCCTAACTCCAATAACATCACAGTGTAATGTCGTTTGACTTAATAACAGGCATGTAATGTTTACCGACAGGTTTCGACAAACCGTCAGCATATGCGATTAGATAGACATATCTGTTTCATTTCAAAGAATAGTCTGTGTAAAATAATGAGAGGTTTACATGGTAGTTAGAGGTAACACATAAAAATGTACTCTAAAAATTGATTTTGTTTTCTTAGTACACCTATTTTTAGCATTATTTCCTTTATACCAATAAAAAAAGATTATTTTCAAAGAACCAAATTTTTGTTTGAAATTTTTATTTCTTTATTTCTGAAAACTCATTTTAAAGTTTCGTTAATTGCCTCTCTTGTGTATCACCAGAAGAACCATCATGAATTTCAGTACTTCCGTTAGCGAAGGGGACAGGAAAGTAGACATTTCTTATTGGGACATGTAATAAGCTTAGGAGAAAGGGAAAATTTTACAAGTGAAAATCTCTCTAACATAGTTTCCTATCCAAGATAAGCGAATTCCCATAATCATGCTGTTCTAAAATATAAAATAAATTTTTTGAAACGTTTCAACTTTTTGTTGACTACATGAAAAAACGAAGATTCTGATGACCTGTGCAGCTCTGATGATGAAAAGTTCAGGATTAGACTATACATCTCGAAGCAGGGGATTTTCATCCCAAGCTAAGAATTTATCCCGCTATATAGTATGAAATATACAGTGAACAAAGTTTTTTTTCGACGATATCATTTCCTAAAGCTGTAAAATCGTATTTATGGTGAACCTAGAAAATAATGTGCTGCATTCAACAATTGATAGTTTCTACCTATATAAAAGAGATGACACATTCACCATATGTGATCGAAATACAGGTATTGTAGCCGTAGTCAAAAAGTCTGAAGATCTACAAGCGAAAACTAAGAAGTTGGCAGAAGAGGCAGCAAAACGAAGATGGGGTTTCCTTCAGGTGAACGTAGAGAAGACAGATGTAACGAAGATACCCAACCCACCTACCTACCTACACACCTGCCTGTCTGCATGCCTGCCTACCTACTCACCAACCGACCAACCTAGGCAGCAATGTTTAAACTACAGGTGGTGACGGTGGCGTCACCGATAAGGATGTCAAAGCCACAATCGGAAAGACAGCAAGATAGGTCTTCCTTCATTAATCTGAAATAATCAGTGTGGGTGGAGATCCACTGCACTGCACTGTACTGCACTACACTCAGCATAAAGCTCAAACAATATCCGTGTTTTCAACATTAATATCAGTCGAGTAACTCAGTGCTTCGATGTGATGTTTGAGAGACTTAGCAGGTTACGAAAGGCATTTCCAACAAACTACAGACAAACGTCAACAGCTGTCTATACTCGGTGCTGAAGATCAGATGGATGACCAGAATAATAAGAATGAGCAACAAGCAACTCACTCTGACAACGAACCAACCAACAATTTATCGCCCAAGAAATATACGGAACAAAGCAGAGATGAGTTGAATTGGATTGGACGTAGACTGAAAAGACCGTTTTTGGACAACATGTGTCAGGCTATGCCGTCGAGTGGAACGGAAATGGGAAAGGACGAGTTGGGCATCGGATGGTGACATGGAGAAGATTGTGTGAGGAAGAAATGAAAGCTCATGGGTATTCGTGGAGGCAGGTTGAAAAGACTGCATAGAATGTTAACCCATTTCTGAAGTGGCTAAAAGAAAGGCTAAGAGTCATGAGTGACTCGCAGTATGAAATGGTTTGGTCCCAATGAATTCATTTATATGAGTTTGGTCATCCTCTCTACAGACACTGTAGTAAATAATTTACTTGGTTGTGGCTAGCAGAAGAATCCAGGACGCGCGTTTCATCCTATTTGGGACTCATCATCTGAATGTACCTGCACTCCAGTAAGTGATGTTGTTCCCATTGAGAATGGAACCCTGTACTCAGGATATTATGAAATAAGTTTCTTACAGAACATTTTCGGAGATTATTATGTTTAATTATTCTGATAATATTTCATATATCTTATACCGCTATCTTGATTTCTTATGTTCTTTCAATTTAATTGGTTGTGTGAGGTCAGTCGTGC